CTAACATAATGTTACTGTTCACAGAAGCACTAAATAAACTAAGCTTCTTGTGCTTAGAAGCTCTAATATAACTTCATGAGTATAAAACTAACAAATTAAAATCTGTCTTTCTGCATTGCAAATAACTTTTCATTTTCAGCATATGTGGACTTGCATTCTCTTCATTTGCTTAGTTGCACTAACATAGTGTTACTGTTCACAGAAGCACTAAACTAAGCTTTCTTGTGCTTAGAAGCTGTAACAACTTCAAGAGCATAAAATTCCACGGTAACACTTTATAATAACTTGCATTAATAAATAATTAACAAACATTATATAATGTTTAACTAATCAATACTTAATATATATTCACAAATCTGGAAATATGAGATAATGTCCTTGTTAATGTTAACTAATGAACTTAATAAACATTACCAAATGATTAACAGATCACTAATTAATGTAAATTGAAAAGCTTACAAATGTCATTAAACATTCTATTCATATGATCATGCTTTTTTTTTTTTTAATTTTCAAATGATTTTGACTGATGGTTTACAATTATTAAAAGCTTCATTAATAAATCATTAACAAACATTATATAATGCTTAACTGATCATTAATGTTTACAAATGTCATGAAACTTTCAATGTGTTTTAAAAATCTACAAAAGATTTGAACAGAAATTACACAATGAACAAAGTATATTTGTTAATGTACTTTTGAATGCTTACAAGTGTCATTAAACTTCAGTTCACATATTAGCTAATGCTCATTATTACATTTACAAATGTTGTAAAAAATATAGCTTAATTTTTTTATTAATTAATAATTATATTAATATTAATAATTAAATTAATTATAAACTATTCATGTTAATATTAATAATAATAATTAATATTATAATGTTAATTATATTAACTCATAATCACAGTGTAACGCCCCTGTAGACTGTTTATTGTGGTTTCTTCCCCTTTTGTTGGTTTAGCCCGTACTTAATCATCAGTTTATCACCTCATTGTGCTCACCTGTCTGCCCCTCGTTATCTGCCCTATATTAGTTCCTGTCTCTTGTATTCTAGTTTGTTGGTTATTGTGAATGTTAGCCTGTGTATTGATGTCTGGAGCATCAACCTGAGCCCATCGATGACGGAGAGCCATTTCCCGCCGCGATCCACGAGCCGGAGCGAAGCCCCGCGGCTGAGAAGAGGATCGCCTCGGATGTTGAGCCCAACCCGACAGACCAGGTGCGAGAGCCGGTGACAGTGCCTAATCCTCAGTTTAGTCCAGGAAGGGCTCCCGATCCCCTGTCGAGCCTAGGAATGGGTCTCGATCTCCTGTCGAGCCTAGGAATGGCTCTCGATCCCCTGTCGAGCCTAGGAATGGCTTTCGATCCCCTGTCGAGCCTAGGAATGGCTCTCGATCCCCAGTCGAGCCTCGGAATGGCTCCTGATCCCCAGTTAAGCCCAGGAAGGGCTCCTGATCCCCAGTTCAGCCCAGGAAGGGCTCCTGATCCCCAGTCCAGCCCAGGAAGGGCTCCGGATCCCCAGTCCAGCCCAGGAAGGGCTCCGGATCCCCAGTCCAGCCCAGGAAGGGCTCCGGATGTTTCGTTTAGCCCAGGAAGGGCTCCTGAT